GGAAGGGCGAGTAAAAGAAAAAAAAGGAACCACCTGGCCAAGTAAAAGAGTGCGGCTTGAAGAATAGCAAATACTTGGTGAGTCTTTATTATATTAGAGCAATAAGTTGTAAGAATTTTGTACACTTGGGTGTAAAAATTATATAAGGGTAGTGACAGATATTACGTAATATTTTAGGGGGAAGGGGTGAGTAAAATGTCTTACGTCCTATATATAATATATATATATACTATATATCAAATATACATACTATAATATAGATAAAAAGGATAAGACTCGGGTCTATTATGTAATCATATACATATACTGTCTTAGAGTTAATAATTTTTTTACTATGCCGCAGACCTTCATAGTAGACCCTTCTCAATTTTACTAGGTTTAAAATAACAGACCCGGAGTGGTTTGTGCGTATTAGTATATTATTATTCGCGATAAATCAGTATTATTCTTTATACATGTGATTTTTCAAACCAACCCAATTAAAATCAAGAAACATGATCACGAACACTCATAATTTGCATAAATTTTTAAATTTTATTTTATATCGAACTAAAACAAATAACCAGGTACATACAGACGGTATATAAGCTAACCAAATATTTAGTAACAAATATGTACTGTAGTATACAGTAGATTTGAGTATAAAGATATAGATCCAGGCACAGAACTATATGCATAAGTGCTACAAGAATTTTTACGACTTTTTCTCTGTAGCACACTTCAGGTCAGTTTTTTTTTTTTCTTAAAAAAAACCTTTTACTCCAGCATTCCCTACATTCATCCAAATAATTTTCATTTTGTTGCAAGAGTAATAGGTCCAAATCTTCCATAGTTGCAGAATTTGAAATTATAACAAATTCTGCAACTGATTCTGAAATTTCTGGTTCTTTTCTAGTTTTTCTACGGTTGGATGAATGCTGTAAATGTTTATGCTTTGCCACATATGATAGAGTAGGAAAATACTTATGGCAAATTGAGCAGCAAAGTCAAGAATACATTGTTTGGTTAATGGATGGACAATGTTCATCATAATCGGGAACTTTAAATCGCTCAGAATATTGGAGAAGGTGAACAGGATTAATATAGTGACCATCTCGGGCTTTGGTAACGGGAGAAAGAAACCCATCAAAGGGTTGAAGAAAATCCATAGCTTCTTGTGCTCTGGTAGATCCATAGCAACTCAAATTGGTGCAATATTTAATATCAATTGAATATTGACATAAACTACAATGTTTTTCTATCCAGAACCACGGAACGGAAGTATTAGTAGATTTATTAAAATCTTGTTCTTTTTCATTATCAAAATTCTGTTGATTTGATTTCCCCCTCCTTTTTAATATTATTATCTTCTTCCTCGTGGGTAAATATAATATCCACAAACGGATTAGTTATTTTATCAATATATGTTGCTTTTACATATTTTCTAAAAATTGGGTCTCGACCCTATATGTCATACAACATAAAACCGGTATAATGAAAATTTTTAGTTGCTAATTCATCATCAACAATTCTACTCTGACTATCAAGGTGCTTTCCAAAATGATCTATCAGTAAAACAACTCCAACCAACTTACCAGAAAGTGTAGCCATTCCTCTTTCGACTGGGTTATACTTTGACTGCCCTGGGGTATATATACGTACTGACAAGTAATCAAGATCGAATTTTTTAAAAATCTTGCAATATAATTCAATATTTTTAAGGTGCCTGGGATTCTCATCAGGTTTACCATCAACTAATAACACCCAAATCGGTTTTATTTCACCATTTATTTTTAATATTTCAGAATATTGATTATCCAACACAAGACTAGAAAGATCCTTCATATGGGTAATAGATGATGTGCCGATTGACCATTGAGGCCTAACGATGATTAAAACTTGTCTTGTCCGAAAATCATCATTAGTTTCACTCGGTTTAATCATTAGATAAACTGAAGGAATTAGTTTTTGGCTACTTCTATATACGAAATCATGATCAGGCAATTGGACTGGTTAAGAGGAAGATTGTAAGATATGAAACGTTCTACTAATAGCAGCTACCCTAAATCTATCTTTGCCTTATCATCTTGTGAGATGATTACAGAAAAATCAGCAAAGGTTTGTGCAAATTGTCTTACACCTTTTACAGAAGCAAGACAATAGTGGCCATCAAGATGGTACTTTGTTTCATCATGCGAAACTGCAGCCACAGCTACCCAGGCGGGATGATGATGTGCCTTTGCTGCAAGTAAGTTGAAACAACGAGGCAAAAGGTAGTTGTTTAGGGTTGTTCTTGCCATATAGATGTCATAGTTTTTTTCAAGATTTTCTCTTAGATGATTCACAATTCTTACTTTAATTGTTTCTTTACGTCTTTGTGTATCTGCTGATCAGTATTCGATTGAATCATAAATATGTTCCAGTAAGTCTGGGTTCCGAAGTAAGTATGATGATCTACCACATTTGTTATACTGAACTACCTCTTGTTGTTCTTCTAATGCTTTAACTTTTTTAGAACGACATTTGGACTGATAATCGGCATTTCTTTTTAATTTTCGCAATGTTTCTTTATGTGATTGAATATCAGTTTTTAGACTTGTGATCCTGCTATGTAAGTCACGTCGAAGTTGTGAATTAGAGATAAAGTTATATACTTGTTCTAGCTCTTTGAGTTTTGTTTTGGCAGCCTCTATAGAACAAGCTGCCCGTTTTTGTGCTAGTGCATTATTTAGAATTTCTTGTTCTACAGGAATTGCTGTCATAGCACAAGAACTACTGACTGTAATTTCTGGAACAGTTGTTTTTTAAAATAAAACAGTAGACCCGATGAATCCTTTTAATTTAATAGGTATCTTTTTATTATATCATCAATTTTAGTTTCCTCAAACATTTTAATATTTTTCCACTCCTTCGCAGCAGTGTCACATATAGATAATCGACTTTGGATCAGATTTTTATTTTTTACTATAAAATGGTATGCAAATGCATTAGTAAACTGCTGATATTTAGTATTTGGAGATTTGTATATGTAAGTTTTATCAAACTTAGGATTAGAAATAAAGGTTTGTTGACTCATTATGTTTGAAATAAAATATGAATAATGAGTTATAAAAAACTAATCAAATTTATCTAATTATATAAATAATCTTTTTACAAAAGTTCAACGTATTTATTAAGATTTATATAGAATAGATTGCATAATTTGCAGCTAAACTTGCGCTATACAATGTGAGTTCTTCTTTATTTTGTGTATAACCAATATATCTTATTTAATTAATTTTCTCAACT